GGGGGCGGCGGCGGCTGCGCTTCGCGCACCCACGCAGGTGCGCTTTTGCTGGCCGCCGGAGCAGCCAACCCCGGGCGCGGCGCGTGGAGTCTCCGCAGCCTGCGGTCTTCTCCCGGTGGTGTCAGGGCGGCTGGGGAAAGCTGCTGGCGACCCGTAGCTCCCGTGCGACCCCGCCCGGTGGAAGTGGGCCTCCAGGCGCCCAGGATCCTGGCTAGGATCTGCTTCGGCTCTGGAAGGGCGGCGGCATTACCATTACTCAATCCTCGTCGCCTCCGGTCCCCTCCTCCCCCTCAGCGGATAAACAAAACACCAGCGCGTGACTTTAATGCCTTAAGAGCAGCCTCACCAGTTTAGAAAAGTTGCTTCTTCCCGCTCCGAGCGTCGGCGCTCTTTCTTCCCCAAATCTTTCGGCGGCACATTGGGTGGAAGGCGTGTTTGAAAATAAAACCTCATTTAGGTGCTGTTTACTTTTGGGAGACTTGTTGACATCGTTCTTTGAGGCTTCGTATCTTTTGAGATCATTTAATTTGCTGGAGTAACCCTACAAAATACAGTTATGCATTCGAGCTTTACAATTTCAAACTCGTAAGGGGCATAGAGGTTCAACAGATTCCCTTCCACCTTATCCACAGTTCTCCCACGGGTAAGTTTCTTGTTCATCTTTCCTGTGCATTGCTGAGTGCGTGCATCTTCCCTACTAAATCCCGGGCAACAACTCGTTGTGTGTTACCTCTTGTGTTAGTCTCGCTAATATCGGGCACCACTACCACGAGGTTTGGCCAGCTCGTTCACCCTTGGTGCGTCCCGGTCCCCTGGGGAACCGTCATCCAAAAATCAGACCCTGGTGCTGGAGGCTCCGGAGACCCGGAGCTCTCGGCGGGGAGGCTGGGCCGGGCGGTCGGCACTTCCTGCCCGGCGGGCTGACTCGTCGGCGACACGCCCGCCGCTTGTAAACGCCAGGCGGACGCAGCACGGGCTGAGAACGCTTCTGGCCCTCGGACCTCTTCCTACTCGGCCTGGTGAGCGCCGCGCCGATCGTCGATCGTCGGGCGCCGGGAGGCCCAGGCAGCGCGCGGAACAGGAAGAGGCGTCCTGCGGCTGCCGGCGAGAGGGGAGGAGACTGCGCGGACCCGGGCGGCGGCCCTCTCGGGAGAGGCGGGCAGGTGGGCCAACGGGAGAGGACGGCTCTGTCCGCAACTTACTATTCCTTTCCTCCCCCTCCCCTTCACAGGGGGGCGGCTGACGGCGGCGCGATGGACCTGGCTGGGCTCCTCCTGGACGAAGAAGGCACCTTTTCCCTCACCGGTTTCCAGGACTTCACGGTGAGAGCACAGTCCGCCTGTCCTTAGCCCCCCCTAGGTTGGGAGTCAGGACTCCGGGGCGTTTCCCTCCGGACCCGAGCGGAATGGGAACTGTGTCACTTGCCATGCCCCGGATTGGGCAGCTGTCGAGAGCAATGCCTACTCGAGGCCCGGGCCACTTGGGCCTGGAGGCAAAGCCTCAGGTTATGGGAAGGGAACTGCGGGTGGTTCGACTAGGGTCCATCTGGGTTCTAGTGTTCTAGTCTTCTCCTGGGAGCCCTTAGTGATGACAGGGTGTCTTTCTTCCTCTCCCTGAGGACAGGACTAGGCTACCATTAGCAAAAGATCCTGGGAACTCGGAGCTGGGTGGGGCATAGGCCCAGTGGCAGCAAGTCCTGTACAGCCTTCCAGCCCCAACCCAGGACGTCCACCAAACCCTTCCCTGTTTCAGTTCCTTCCAGGACACCAAAAACTGAGTGCTCGAATCCGAAGGAGACTCTATTATGGCTGGGACTGGGAGACAGATTGCAGCTTGGAGGAGCTCTCCAGCCCTGTGGCAGGTTAGAGGGGTTGTGTGTGTGTGTGTGTGTGTGTGTGTGTGTGTGTGTGTGTGTGTGTGTGTGTGTCTGAGCAAGTATCTTTGAGGGCAGGGTTTTCAGTAGTCACCCAGATGCCTAGAGGTTTGCTGAGCTGCACTGTGTCTCATAACTTACCTCACTTGGTACTTGGTTTGACAATGCAAGACGTGTTTCACATTCTTTTAGCCCACGTGAGTAAAAGCAGCTCATAAATCGCAGTCTCTTATTTTTAGGGCCTTGCGTGTGCCAGGCAAGCATTTTACCATGGAGCAATACCCCAAGTCATGCTGCCCCTTTGACTTATAGGGTCAGAAACTTAGGTTTTCTAATTATATTTGTTATATGTTTCCCAAGTAAACAAAGCACAGTTCTTAGATGAACATTAGTGAAAAATAAACATGAATAATCAACAGAAGGAAAGGCTGAGAATCAAGGCTTTTATCTACTTAGAATTGGAGGAGGGGTACAGTGGGAAAATCAAGGATGAAAGGTTGAGACAGTGTCTTACTTACTACATAGATCTAACTACATAGATCTAACTAGCCTATAATTCACCTGCAATTCATCTATAGATCAGGCTGGCCATGGAGTAATCCAATCCCCCTGCCCCTGTGTCTTGAGTATTGGGATTACAGGCTTATTTCATCATGCCCTCCCAGCTTAGGAGAATTTGACTTTTAGGTTTCTGCGACAGTCAGATCCCAGATACTACAGACCTAGGTCTTCCCTGACAATTATAGGGACTGGTGTGTATGTTGGGGGGGTTGACTGTTCTGCCTCCTCTATCTCCTGCAGACATTACTGTGGAACTTCTTCAGAAAGCAGCACCCAGTCCTATTCGCCGACTCCAGAAGAAATATGTAGCTCACGTGTCCCGGTGAGGCTGGGATTGCGGGCATAGAATAAGAGCGAGAGAGTGTTTGTGTGTGTGAGGGGGGTGGTATTGTCTCTAAAGAGAAAGTGTAAAGACAGATGAGCATCTTGAGAGTCGAAGGACCCTTGGGTTTAATTACTGATCCTTTTCACCTCGCAGGGAGGCTTGTATATCCCCTTGTGCTATGATGTTAGCTCTGGTGTACATTGAGCGGCTCCGGCACAGAAACCCAGACTACCTGCAGCACGTGTCCTCTTCTGACTTGTTTCTGATCTCCATGGTAAGGTGTCCCCTCCTTTTATTTCCCGAGTGAGCCAGGCACCAGGTAAGAGCTCCCCTGATGCTGCTTCTGGCTTCTCTACAGATGGTGGCCAGCAAATACCTTTACGATGAAGGGGAGGAAGAGGAGGTCTTCAATGATGAATGGGGAGCTGCCGGGGGAATGGCCGTGCCTACTCTCAATGCCTTGGAAAGGGGCTTCCTGAGTGCCATGGTGAGTGGCTCTTATCTGTCTTTTTCCCCTTTATTCTTTGTTCTCTCTCAGCTTTCTGTTGTTGTCTTTAGCGCTCTCTCTCTCTCTCTCTCTGTCTCTCTCTCTCTGTGTGTGTGTGTGTGTGTGTGTGTGTGTACACCAGATAACCTCCAGTGTTCTTCCTGAAGAACTGTCTACCTTGCTTTTTGAAATAGGGTCTCTTATTTAGCCTGGTACTCATGGATTAGGGCAGGCTGGCTGGCTGGCCAGCAAGCCTCAGGGATCTGCTTGTCTTTGCCTCCTTAGTGCAGAGATAATAAAAAGTGCATGCCATCATGTCATGCCCACTTGTTTTATGTGGGTCCGGGGCCTCTCAGTTTCTGATGCTTGCATACATGGTCTTTACTAACTGAACTAGCAACTGTCCTCCATTTAATTTTTTTTTTTTCTTCTACCAGGTATGCTTGTACACGCATTTAATCCCAGGCAGAGCTCTAAGTTCGAGGCCAGCCTGGTCCATTTCAGGACAGTCAGGGCTTCATAGTCAGACCCTGTTTCTTTCAAGTTAGTCTGTCCTAGAACTCCCTGGGTAGACAAGGCTGGCTTTGACCTTGTGATGGATCTCCTGTCCCTTCTGCGTTGGTCTCCAGTGCTGATCGTAGGTGCACGGACCGCACCTGGCTTTGCGTGGCTGCCCCTTGTGTCTTTTTGGCAGGGACTTCCTTTCCAGTTCTCTTAGGACGAGTTTCGAGGCTTCTGGAACAGTGAGTCCAGAAGTCGCGTCACACCCTCTTCCTCTAGGGCACACTCTGAGGCAGACCCTGTAGTTTTGGCCTCGGAATATTTGCTTTCAGACTTTTCCCACCTTAGACTTTGAGCTCCCTGTGGACAGTGGCCATTCTTGGGTTTATTTTCTCCCTTTGTACTTTGTAGAGGGGGGTAATTAATTCGAGGTCAGGTAGGTAGTGATTGCATGATAGAATAAACGCAAGCTCTTTGGATAGTAGTTAGCACATCTTCTCAGCTGATGGTTGTAGCTGCTCCGATCAGGCCACACCATGTGCTCTCTTCCCTGTTCTTATTTACTTAGGATATTTTGAGATAAGCTTACACTATAGCCCAGGCTGGCCTAGAACTCACTATGTAGCCCAGGCTGGCCTGTAACTTGCAGCAATACTTCAGCTTCCCAAGTACTGAGGTCATAGGGATGTACTACCATCCCTGCCTTTCTTGTTGCACACAGGATTGGCGTCTCTACACTGATCCGCGGGAGATCTTTGAGGTGCTGAATTGGCTGGAGAGCTGGTAAGTTCCAGGAATTGGTAAGAGGGGTTTGAGGCATTTAGAGGCATAGGCTAGTGCCCTAGGAGCTAGAGATGAGGTCTGTGTGGCTGCGAGAAAGAAGAGAAGAGAAAGAGAATTGTTCAAAGTAGTCGACCTCTTTTGCCCTCCTTTGGTGGTGGTAGCAGCTAATTTGACATTTAGGTCTTGGTCTCATCTTCTGGATCAGTGGGTAGGCTAGGGATCTGTGTATGTGACCAGCTCCTTAGTGTCTTCTGATGGGTCCTATGTGTGCCCCTGGGCTCACTGCAGGAGAGTCCCCAACCCCTTGTTTCTCCTCCCAACTAGCGTGGCTGAGCAGCAAGGGCGTCGGCGTGGCTGGTACACCTACACGGACCTGTGTGTGCTGCTGGAACAGCCGGCGTGGCAGCTGTCTCTGGGCTCCCTCTGCCAGCGGCTGGTCAAGGTGAGAAGGGGTTGTTAAAGAGAGGGGCTGGAGAAAGATCACGAGAGAGCGAGCGAGCGTGCGTGCTGAAAATTCTGAAAGGCTCAGGAGAAATTTGAGAGTAGATGGGAGAGCAGGGGAGGCAGAGGGAGTTCCAGAGAGCTTCCGTGTGAGAGGCTGGGAGTGGGGACGAGTTGACGGGAGTCAACAGCCCGCTGTTTTCTTATCTTCTCTCCTGCAGCTGTCCTGCCTGTTAGCCGTGGCATATGTGAGCAGTGTGGCCCTAGCTGTGGCGTCGGTGGCTGTAATGCACCAGTCCTTGGGGCTGTCCTGCAGCCCCTCGCCAGGCCCTCCTGACCTCAGACTGGTTTCCAAAGGCCTCTCGCAGCCCTGCCTGCCTCCCCCCATGCCACAGTGCCTGACTAATGTCTCCAGCTGCCCGGAAGGCAGCGTGGAGTGGCCGTCACTCTGGGGCACCCTTCTGGCCTCACTGACACCCCCTCCAGTGCCTCCCCCAGACCCCCCGGCCCCACCTACTCTTCTCCACAAATGCCCCCTTTGCCAGAAGTTCCAGAGAAATCCCCCAAACTGCCGTGCCTGCCACCAGCCTAACCGTACGGTGTCTATTGGTCCTTCACGCCCCTTCTACCGTACCCACGGGCTGGCCCCACCCTGGCTCTCGAACCCGGTAGCCCCTCCATTCCTCCAACCCCAGCAGTGTTCTCTTTTTAGTGTCATGGAGCTGGCCCGTCTCAAGTCTTTCATTTTCCCAGGCTAGGCAGGGCTCTGAGGAACTCATTAAGAGGTTTTGGGAGTCCCTAAGAACCTGGGAGAGGAAAACTTGATTTAGATTTTTGCTACCTCTCTGGGTCCTTGGCTAGTCTCCTGTCCTCCTGAGTAGGAACGTGGGATTATGGGGCAGAGCAAGGTCGGTCACCCTCCTAGACCTCAGAGGCTGGCTAGTGGGTTAGGACATCGATAGTGCCTGGTACAGTTTCGGCTCAGTGACCAGCAGCATGCCACCGACGACGACAGAGAAGCACCTCTCTTTCTGTCTTCTCAAGCCTGGGGGGTGGGGTAGACTTTTGCTTTTGCTTTTCCAAAGATGGGAAGGTAGAGGTGGGGGGTGTGGGAGGTGGATGAGGGGGGAAATAAGACATTCATGTAGTTCTGTATTTGTGATGTCCCCGAGGCAGGAAAACCAGGGACGGTACCAAGATGGGAGCCGCTGAGGGAAGGCTTCCTGAGGCAGGAAGCTTGCCACGCCCATCCCTTGGATGTAGTTGTCACAGCCAAGGATTCCGGGGCCCTTCAACCTTGTCCTTTTCTCTTCCAACCTTAGCATCCTGCTCCAAGGCTTCCCACTTGACCGGTTCTTTTCTAGGTGTTCTCCTTCCGGGCCTCGCCTCTCTGGCACCACTGCTTTGTATCTGAGTTTTTTCACGCTTTTGTAGAACTGAGGTTTCAATAAACAGTTTCTGTTGCATGGCCTGGCCTTTTCCTTCTGCACCATCCTTTGAGGACCTTCTCTCATCTGCCTTCCAAGTCAGATGCACTATCCTGTCAACACATAGCGTCTTCTCTGATCTTTGTTTCAAAACTTCCTGTTAGTTTCAAAGTTACTGGTTCCTGTTTCGAGCTTTCCTGCATCCCTACTGCTCCTACCTTGGAGGGGGGGGGGGGACTGGGATTGCTGGATATGGCCTACCATGGGATACAAGCAATGACTGTCCCAGGCCTGGGAAGGCCTTGTCTGCTGTTACATAGCCTGGGTGGGTACCAGCCTTGTGGATCCTTGTGGTGTCAAAACACATACCTGGTTAGCTCCTAGAATACGAGCCCTGCTGACCGCTTCCCCAAGGTGACTCATGGAAATAGCTGGTGCTGAAGAACCAGAGCTGGGTCATCAATAAGAGAACAATCTATGGTGTGTGGACTGCTAGCTGACTGCCAAAGATAGTTGAGGGGGTGTCGGGGGCAGGAGGAGATGTCCGTGGACCGGTGGGTGCTTCTGTCATTGTGGACATGTACTCATTTTATTTGGTTGACTCTTGGGGAATACTACTGGCATTTTTTTCATCTTGAGTGGGATGCTAGACACCCTAAAGGGTTTAAAACCTCCTTTACTGTGAACAGTTCCCTAGATAGACATCATCATGCAGATGAAAATTCTGTTTTATATGAGCCTGGAGTTGGCTGCTGTTGGAAATGGTCTCACGAGGTTCATGCTGATCTGGAACTTGTGATCCACTTATATCTGCCTTCAGAGTGTTGGGGTACAGGCATGTGCCACCGCCCCTAGTCAATTCTGAAGATATTTTTTTAAGTGCAAACATGAAATATTTTTGTGTATTTGGGGGAGGGGGAAATGGAGGACTCAAACCTACACAAAGAATTGAATGCAACAAAGGAATGTTGGGAATGGGAGTAAGTCTTCCCCCAGGGAATGGCATAAAAATTGGTTATCCAGTACCAAATGGTCAGTTCTGGAAACATACCTATGAATAACACTATACAGACTGAGCAGGTTATAGTTAGTAATACATATGTGTATATACATATATTTGTATAATAATAAAAGGGACATGAATGTGAAAAGTGAGGTGGAGGGGTATCTGGGAGGGTTTCCAGGGAGGAAAGGGAAGGCAGAGGTGATATAATCTCAAAAATAAAAAAAAAATTTAAACAATTTTCAGGGAATTATACTTCCATGTAAAGTAAATGTGTACTTTGTTCAATGTTTTACCAAAAGTTTGTTCACTATTTTAGAAAACCTGGTCACCAATGTCAATCCTGCTTATGACATCTGAATTCCCATTAAATGTCATTGACTGGCTATCACATCCACAGTGATCCTGTTTATGGGTGCAGGCGGCAGACTGCTCCATTTCTTCTGGTTTATTTGTGCCCAAACTTTCACATTTTGAAGTACATATTACTATTAATTACTCTTGCTTTACAGTGAGTGCGTTTTACGTAGTGGTCATTGTCATACAGGATGTGGGCGTTTTATTTATTTATTTTTGTTTTTTGAAACAGGGTTTCTCTGTGTAGTTTTGGTGCCCATCCTGGAGCTCACTCTGTAGACCAGGCTGGCCTCAAACTCACAGAGCTCTGCCTCCCGAGTGCTGGGATTAAAGGCGTGTGCCCCCACCACCCGGCTGATGTGGGCATTTTATGCATGAGTTTTGTTTTGAACTGATCCAGGGCATGTCTTGTTTGGTTGAGGAATGTGCACCTAATAGATGATGCTGAATGCTGATGAGGCAGTTTGCAAAATTTCTTCAGGCTATCTTGATGGGTCTTCCCTAACCCTCCCGTTTCCAGAGCCTGGTCTAGAAGCAGGGGATATGGCTGAAAATTCTTCAGGGAGGGGTCCAGAACTCAGCTGCTAGGTTAATGGCTGATGGAATTTGCTCAAGAGCTGGGCAAAGGTGAAAGAGCCATGTCCTGCTCCCAAGCCCTTATTTCTCTCTCTCCGCTTCATTGACACCCCCCCAGCCCCTCCCCACAACAGCCAGCGCACTCTGCTCACACTCTGACCTCTTACTTTACTCAACTAGCCCAGGGCGGCCCAGACACAATCAAGTCAGGGCAGCATGAGCCGATCCCCTCTCCATCCAATCCCACTCCTACCTGTGGGCTCCCAGGATGCCCCTGCTCCCCTGCCACCACTGCTGCCCCCTCTTCAGAATCCCCCCTCCCACTCACGGGCCTCTCGGTGTGGGCCTTCCACCTGGGGCCTCAGCTGTCTTCTGGCTCTGCAGGTAGGAGGTGGAGGCGCTGGCTGAGATGGGTATTTGGAGGGAGTCAATGAGTTGCGAGAAACTCTCAGATAGGTATACTTCTGCGGCTCATCCCTCTACACTATCCGCAGCATTTCCTGGTCCTGGCATCTCTGCTCTGTGCCTCCCACCTGCTGCTGCTCCACAATCTTCCCCCAGGGGGGCTCTCATACTCACCTGCTCAGCTCCTGGCTTCCAGTTTCTTTTCCTGCGGTGTGTCTACGGTCCTGCAAACTTGGATGGGCAGCAGGTGAGGGGCACTCCTTTGAGAGAGGGAGTAGGCTCCCAGAAAGAGACTTAAGGGAATCCTGCTGACGGTCACACGTTTCCAAACCTGCTGGGGCCGCTGTTCCTTCAGGCTGCCTCTAGTCCAGGCTCCATCCTTAGAATTCCTTATCCCCGCGCTGGTGCTGACAAACCAGAAGCTACCTCTGACCACCAAGACACCTGGAAATGGTGAGTACAAAGTCAAGACAGGCTAGCGGCAGAAGTACGTGCTGGCTGGAGGTTGGGCGGTTAGTACTATGGCTGAGCATCATAGAGAGAGGTCTTGGGCGTCACACCAGGCATCAGTTGGGACGGGAGAGCACTGAGTCTCCATCCCATTTACACCTCTCTGTACCCCAAACTTCCAGTCTCCCTCTCACTGCGCCTGTGTAGTTTGACAAGCTGCCGTGGCCTGGAGCTCTGGAACACTCCTCTCCGAGAGGTGAGTGCCTGGAAAAAGACAGCAGAAAGACTGGATGGTCCCAGCATGGCGACATTCTTACTTCCATTATGCAGACACTGACGCTATGATGCTAAGGAGCGAGGCAGGATCCTATCCTTGGAATTAGTTAGAAATTCCAGGCTGGACCTGGAGAGATGGTTCAGCAGTTAAGAACACTCTCTGCTCTTCCAGAGGACCCGGGTTCAATTTCCAGTATCCACATGGCATCTCATAACTGTCCGTTAACTCCAAGATCTGACACCCTCACACAGACATGCATGCAGGCAAAATACCAATGCAAATGAAATAAAAGTAAATAAATTATTTAAAAAAGAAGAAGAAAAGAAAAGAATTTCCAGGCTGAAGTCAACTTGGTTGAACAGAAAGTCTTCTCTCCATCCTCTCCTCTGCTCCATCAGGTGTCGGGGGCAGTGGTGGTATCCGGGCTGCTGCAGGGCACAATAGGACTTCTAGGGGTGCCTGGCCGTGTGTTCCCCTACTGTGGGCCACTGGTGCTGGCTCCCAGCCTGGTTGTAGCAGGGCTCTCGGCTCACAAGGAGGTGGCCCAGTTCTGTTCCGCTCACTGGGGCCTGGCCTTGCTGTAAGTGAGTCCCGAGAGGTGTGGGATGGTACCCAGTGGGTGTGCAGACCTGGGGAGGGCAGAGCTTCTGGCTTATCAGATTCCACAGCTACCTGGGCAGGGATAGAGGTTTGAGGTTTGGAATCCAAGGCTTTCTTTGAATTCATGCAGTCTTCCTGATATTCATAGTTACATGCTATGGTACCTTAGGGTACCTCCCCACCCCTTCCATGAGGAGCTTCTTCCTTGGGGCCTCCTTTTACAATAGTCTGCTCCCCTGCATTGCCCACATTCGGGATTCTGATGCTTCGGACCTGCAAAGCTCCTTCTCTTTCCTAGGCTCATCCTGCTCATGGTGGTATGTTCTCAGCACTTAGGTTCCTGCCAGGTACCCCTGTGCTCCTGGAGGTCAGCTTCAGCTTCTTCAACTCCCATTTATATGCCTGTCTTCCGGCTCCTTTCGGTATGTGGGGCCCCTGGGCAGATGAAGTGAGAAGGGCTGGCTGATGTGCATAGCCAGGTGAGGTGGCACACACCTGTAATCCCACCCTGGGCAGGTGGAGGCAGAAGGATTGAGGAGTTCAAGTTCTGCTATTTAGGAATTTTCAGCCCAGCCTGAAATACATGGACAAAAACCCCGTATTGGCTCTCATCACACATGTGGGTGGCTCATAATTGCCCGCAACTCCTGCTCCAGAAGCCAAGTCCCTCTTCTGGCCTTCCAGCCGCTCCCCCATACACAAACAAAATAAAAATAAAATAGTTGAGCAAAGTGTGGTGGCGCACGCCTTTAATCCTAGCACTTGAGAGGCAGAGGCAGGCGGATCTCTGTAAGCTTGAGGGCAGCCTGGTCTATATAGAGAGTTACAGGACAGCCAAGGCTACAGAGAGACCCTATCTCAAAAATCAAATCAAATCGTTGAAACAGACAAAAGCGTGTGGGGTTGACCTGGAATGTTCCCTTGGTCCCCTATTTCTGAGTTTCTGGTGACCCCACCCAGGCTGACTCAGAAGGTTCTGGGGAGGAGGGAACTCTTGTCCATCTCATTATTGCCCTTCAGGTGCTTACCCCTGTGGCCTGTGTGTGGATCATCTCTGCCCTTCTGGGTCTGAGTGTCATCCCCCTGCAGCTCTCTGACCCCACTGAGGCACCATGGTTTTGGCTGCCTCACCCAGGTAGGTTTTTTCCCCATGCTTCCATTCTCTCGCTCAAACCAAGGCTTCTATTTCTTTGCCCTCACAATTTCATAGACTTCGGCCAGGTGAGGTGGCACACATCTGTAATCCCAATACCCGGGAAGTGGAGGTAGGAGGAGCAGGAATTCAGGGTCACCTGCAGCTACATATCGAGTTTGAGGCCAACCTGGGCTACATGAGGCCCTGTTTCAAAAAAAAAAAAAAAAGTCACACAAAAGATTTAATGGAGCTCACTTTTTACTTCTGAATAAAATCTGTGTTTTCTCAAAACACAGATGGAGAAACCGCCAATTTGAGGGGTTGCTCCACCCCCCCCCACTTCACTGCAGATGCATTATTTGGGTTAGAGTCAGGAGATGTTATACCATGTATCCTTACTCTCCACCCCATTGCTTACTCCTGATATCCCTGACCAATGAACAAGTTTACATTCTCAGCCCCCGTGGACATCTCTGTTGGTAAACTGTAGAGTTCCTGCCTTGGAGTCAGCGTATGTGAGATTTTGTCACTCATGTTCATTTGTCATGATGGTGGGGATCAATCAGCTTAGAACCTTGTGCAGAATACTCAGCAAGTGCCTTACACTGAACTCTACCCGAGCCCTTCATGGAACAGTTTAACAACGGCCAGTTGAGTTCTGATGAGGCCCTAAGCACATGGTAGGCGTAGTGATGGATACAGGAGTAATAATGTCTGCTTCACGGAGCTGACAGTCTACTAGGGGTATATAGAACCAAATAAGCAACTAAATAATGTGAAACTGTCGTCATAGTAAATGTACCTAAGTAAAACTAGGATTTGTGGTGAGAGAAAACAATGGGGAATTTGACGCTATTAGCGGAGTCGAGAGAAGTGGGGGTTTTTTTATTTAGAATTTTTTCTTTTCAAATTGTTTCTTGACATGTTCCATACATGTATACAATGTATCTTGATCATATCCAACTCTTCCTCCCACTGTCCCCAATACATCCCCATCCCATTTGCGTGTCCTTAAAAAAAAAAAAAAAAAAAAAAAAGATTCACTGAGTCAGATTAGGTACTGTGTGGGTGTGCATGGGTATGGGGCTATCTGCTAGGATCTACACCTCTGAAGAAAAATGACGGTCCCTTACCCCAGCAGCAGCCTACTAGGGTCTATACTCATGCTGGACTCTTGCATGGCTTGATCTTGTACAGGTCTTGTGCAGGTGACCATGGCTGCTGCAACGTCATGAATGCAATGGCCTTGTCATGTCCCGAAGACAGCTTCTCACAGCACTCCTCCCCATCCCCCAGATCTTACATTCCTTTTGTTGTTGTTTTGAGACAAGACCTCACATAGTCCAGGTTGACCTTGAACTTGCAATTGTAGCCAAGGATGGCCTTAAACTCCCTGTACCTTTGCGAGCGTTGTAATTACAGGGATGCATCACCCCACTTGGATGTGGTGGGAGAAATAGTCCTTGAAGAAGTGAGATGAGATGTAAGAGGTGGAGAGAGTAGGAGCCAGTTGGACAGGATGCAGGAGACAACAGCATACTAGGTAAACAGCATGTGCAAGGGTCCTGTGGTCATCAGGAACACAGTAAATCCAGGGCCCAAAACAAGGCTAGTGTGTTTGAAGTAAGGTGGAATGTGACAGGAAATGGGACTAGAACAGAACTGAGAGTCAGACCAACCTGGTAGATCATAGTGAAAAGAAGGATCTTTATTTAGAGTTCAGTGGTTTTGCCCCACAGTATTATCCTGAAAAAGCTAGAGCATCTGGGATTCTTGTGGTATAGACATTTAGGGGCAGAGGGATGCTCCAGGCTTGAGTCTGGTCTCTAGATGACTCCTTCTTCCTCAGGTGAGTGGGATTGGCCCTTGTTGACGCCCAGAGCCCTGGCTGCAGGAATCTCCATGGCCTTGGCAACCTCCACCAGCTCCTTGGGGTGCTATGCCCTGTGTGGCCAGCTGCTGCATCTGTCTCCTCCACCACCCCACGCCTGCAGTCGAGGGCTGAGCCTGGAGGGGCTGGGCAGTGTGCTGGCAGGGCTGCTGGGGAGTCCCCTGGGCACCGCATCCAGCTTCCCTAACGTAGGCACAGTGAGTCTTTTCCAGGTACGTGGATCTGAGACAGGACCGAGGGGATTGGCAGTACAGGGGCAGGAGCTCAGGGTGGTAGGCTGTCGGCTGGGCCAGCTCTCAGGCAGGCAGTCCACGGAGGGAGGTGCCTAGAAGTGCTAAATGCTATGAATGTAGAGAAACAAGACATCGGTATGCCAGGTGAATTGGGAGCTCTGCCAAAGCTCACTACAGCGAAGAATGAATCAGAGAAAGCCCCATTCTCTTGGGAACTTGGCAAGAAAAGGAAGCATATAGCATAATTTGAGAGCAGTCAACACTGTCGCGAAAGCAATGGTGTATGGGCTGAGCAAAGAGGCTCCTTTGGATGGAGTGGCTAGGATGCTTAGAAGGGTCACACTTAAGCTGGGGTGCGAAGGATGAGATGGAGCGGGCCAGGCAAAGATCTGGTGTAGTCCAAGGAGTTGGCTGTGTTTTCTAGTGTCTCTTCTTCATGCAGACCGGTTCACGGCGAGTAGCCCACCTTGTGGGGCTGTTCTGCATGGGGCTTGGGCTCTCCCCAAGGCTGGCTCAGCTCTTCACCAACATCCCACTGCCTGTACTTGGTGAGTGAATAGATGTGAAGACAGGTATTAGAATGCTATTTGGCCCAACCAGTTGGCCAGGCTGGTGCCATTTCTTTCTAAATAGCTTCCCTGAATGGATACGGTCGTAGGCTCTTGTTTTCTCAGTCCGACTGAGACTCTTGCAGAACCAGAAACAAGCCTGTTGGTTATCTTTTCTCTGCACAACCTGCCTGTCCGACAAACCCTGAACTTTGCCCTCGTCCCACTGCTTTGTTTTCTTCTGTACGAGGCAGGTGGGGTCCTGGGAGTGACCCAGGCTGTAGTTCTGTCTGCTGGATTCTCCAGCTTCCACCTGGCTGACATCGACTCTGGGCGAAATGTCTTCATCGTGGGTTTCTCCATTTTCATGGCCTTGCTTCTGCCAAGGTGGCTCCGGGAAGCCCCAGTCCTGCTCAACACAGGTAAGTGGGGTGGAGGAAAAAAAAAGGGGGGGTAGGGTTGAGGCTTTAGGCCAGGGGCTCTCAATCTGTATGTAGGTCATGACCCCTTTGGGAATCAAATGACCCTCTCACAGGGGTCGCCTAAGGTAATCAGGAAGCACAGATATTTACATCGCAATTCATAACAGTAGCAAAACTACAGTCATGAAGGAGCAATGAAAATAATGGTGTGGTCGGGGTCACCACAACCTGAGGAACTGTATTAAAGGGTCGCATCGTTAGGAAGGGTGAGAACCACTGCTTTAGGCTCTCTGAATTCTTGGTCTCACAATGGGATTTTGTATGCACTTTATTCATTTATTTAACAAATGCTCATTGAGCCCCGTGCTCCCATTTTTTTGTGTGTTTGTGTCTTGGTTTTATTTCTGTTGCTGTGGTAAAGCACTCAGACCAAAGGCAGCATAGGGGAGGAAAAGGTTTATTCAGTTAACAGTTCCAGATCACATTCCATCATTGAGGGAAGCCATGGCAGGAACTCAAAGCAGACTCTTGAAGACAGGCCTGCTTACTAATCTACATGGCATTACCTCCAAATAAGGGACTCACTTCACAGCCAAGAAGTACAGCAGGAACCATGGACGATGGTGCCTCATGCTCAGCTAACTCTCTTATACAGTTCAAGACCACCTGTCTAGGGTTGGTACCGCCTATGGTGGGCCAAGCCCTAATAAATCAATCACACCAAGAAAGTCAGTCCCCTACAGACTTTTCTCACAAGCAAATCTAGGCAATTCCTCAATTGGGACTCTCTTCTCACATGACCCTAGGCAGTGACAAGTTAACAGTTAGAGCTAACAAGTTACAAAACTCCTCCCCTAAACACATTTTTAGAACAAGTTAGCTAGGTCAAGACACAAAAGTGCCTCTCTCTGGGTGGTACAGTGTTAAGAAAGAGGTGATTTGTTAGGAGTATCCCAAGGCAGGTTAAGATAAGAGCTGTGAGTAGGGTGTGATGGATCATGCCTTTAATTCCATCATTCAGCAAGCTGGTGGCATCTCTGAATTTGAGGCCAATAGTCTACACAGTGAGTTCCAGGCCAGGCAGGGGTACATAGAGAGACCCTGACAAAAACAAGAACAAAGGACCTGTGGTACTCAATGACAAGAGTAGCTTCTGTCTGAGGTGATTCAGTAGAACCGAACTGGTCTTTGAGGATGGGAAAACTGAAACAAACATTCTTGGCAAAAGGCCATTTCCGTGTGTGAGAGACAGGGTCTCATTTTGGAACCTAGACTGGCTTCAAACTTTTGGCAATCCTCCTGCGTCAGACTCCCAAGATTATAGATGCAAGCCACATGGACAGCTGATAAGATCATTCTTTTCTTTCTTTTTCTTTTTTTTGAGACAGGGTTTCTTCATGTAGTTTTGGTGCCTGTCCTGGATCTTGCTCTGTAGACCAGGTTGGCCTCAAACTCACAGAGATCCTCCTGGCTCTGCCTCCCCAGTGCTGGGATTAAAGGCATGTGCCACCACCACCACCACCACCACCACCACCACCACCACCACCACCACCACCACCACCCAGCTGATAAGATCATTCTTGATCACATTTCTATCATATACAAAGATAGAAAATAGGATTAGGGGACAGAAGTAGCGTTTCCTGAAAGCTACAAACAACATGGGTTGTCTAGAGCAGTGGTTTTCAACTGGGGGTGATTTTGTTCCATGGGGAACATTTGGCAATGTCTGGAGACATTTTTTTGGATGTCAGAAATGGGGAGAAAGAGGATTTTTTTTTTATTGTTTGCTTGTTTTGAGACAGGGTTTTTCTGTGTAATAGTCCAGGCTATCCTGGAACTTGTAGCCCAGGCTGGCCTCGAACTCACAGAGTCTTCCTTCCTCTTCCACTCAAGTGCTGGGATTAAAGACATGTGCCACCACATCTGGTGAGAAAAAGGATTGTTACAGGCATTCAGTGCTTATAGAGGTTGTTAAACATCCTTTGAAGCACTGGACAGCTCCTTATAACGGGATTATCCGGTCCAAAGTGTTAGTAGGACTGAAGTTTCGAGGCTCAGGTTAGAGCACCAAGGGTCAGAAGTGGGAGAGACTGGGGCTTTTTAATGCCAAACTTTCCAGAGAAAGGGAGCCTGGGACAAAGGGTATCTGGAGGGTGTGTGGGTGCTTAGAAAACATGGTATTAAGAAGGGGTCCTATGGGAAGGGCCTGAGTATGGGAAATGAGTTTGTAGAGGGACAGAGTGGGATGGAATGACGGCTTAGTGCAGCCTGGCCCTGGTCCAAGACTTCGTTTAGGTCTGAAAAGGAAGATGCATTGCCTTGGACAGTATTAGTTACTTTCCTGCCCGGCCCCAACCCTTTGTAGGCTGGAGCCCCTTGGATATGTTCCTGCGTTCACTGCTGGCAGAACCCATTTTTCTAGCTGGTCTTTTGGGCTTTCTTCTAGAAAACACCATTTCTGGTAAGTTGGGACTAGGTCCTAGGGGAGTGGCTGGGAAGTCATTACTCCCTGAGTTGGGTAATGACCAGACTAATCTCTCCTTGTACTTATTTTATTTTTTCAAGGCAGGTTTTCTTTGCGTGATAGAACCCTGGCTGTCCTGGAACTCACTTTGTAGACCAGGCTGGCCTCGAATTCACGGAGATCCATCCGCCTCTGCCTCCCAAGTGCTGGGATTAAAGGCTTGCCCAGCTTACTTGTTTTTAAGGACTTATTTTCATTTTAAATTATGGGTATGCATGTGTGTCTGTGGGGATATGCATATGAATTCATATCCCTCCAGACCTGGAGTTACAGGCAGCTGTAAGCCATTTGATATCAATGCTGGGACTCGGAACTTGGGTCCTCCGTGCGAGTAGTACCAGCTCTTAACTGGGGAGCTATCTCTCCAGCCTGACCCATCTCTCTTTTGCAGGTACACAGACTGAGCGAGGCCTGGGTCAAAGGCTGCCAACTTCTTTCACTGCCCAAGAAACTCAGAAGTCCAGGGAGAAGGCTGCTCAAGAGTATGGGCTTCCTTTACCCATTCAAAACTTGTGTTCCTGCATCCCACAGCCTCTCCATTGCCTCTGTCCAATGCCGGAGGACTCTGAGGATGAGGAAGGAGGGCCCTCTGAAACAGGAGAGATGGCCGACTTGCTGCCTAACTCTGACGAGTCATGCCCTACAGCGAGCAGAGAAGGGTTTAGGTCCCAGTAATTACCAGGAGCACCATTTTTGTCTTTATTAGTTTAGCAGTCACTCCCGGCTTGCTGGAGCCTCTTGCCTTCAAGGCAATACTTTCTCCCAGTGAGAAGGTGTACGTGGCCCACCTAGATGCGCCGTTTCCCAGCAGAAAGGGCTGCCTTTCCTCCTCTTAATCAGGCTGAAGTTTTCAGAAGCAGGGGGCGTGGGTTTAGTGAATAAATGAGATTTTTTTTGCCTGTGGACTGTCAATGCCGCTTGAATGAACTCTAGCGTTCAAATACTTTATCCAGTGCTTCCCACGAGCAAGGTCCTGCATCCACAGATATGAATATGGCAGGGGTCCCTGCCCTCTCCCCGCATTTAAGGTTTAAATTAGTGACTAAAATGCAAAGCAGAAGACAGTTTATAATGCAGACGAAAATAATGATGAGGGGGCAAGGAGGAAGTGGTATTTCGTTTCGACTGGAAAGGAATTAGGAAAGCAGCAGCGTTGCGAATGGTCTTGACGGGTGGGTTTTCGGGTCCCCGCCCACCCAGGTCTTGGCTCCGCCCCCTGTCCCCAAACCCCGCCTTCCCGAGTGGGGGGGGTGGCCTCTACCCTAAGGCCTTTCAGTTTGCGCACGAGGGCAGGCCCGCCGTGAGGAGGGTGGGAGCTCCCGCAGCCGCTGACGGTAGGTAGGCTCGGCTTCAAGTCAGAGCCGCGATCCGGGTCCGGCCGGACGCCGAAAAGCGGAGAGGAACTCTCACGGTGACCCCCGCTACCCCGGGTGCTTTTTCCCAGAAGGGACCGCGCGCAGCCCGGGCTTTGGGGCAGGCCTCCAGGAGTGGGCGGTCCTGCGCGTGCGCAATCCCCCTTCGGCGTCAGTCTTCACGGGTGGCTCCTCATCCTTAGCTGGCTGGCCCTTCGGCCGATTGGGCTGAATTAGCTTTGTTACCCCTTTAGGGTCCTGAGCCATACGTGCATGCTTCCGGTGCTTTAAAAATGAGAGGCGGGCGACCCAGGCCCTGCGGGAGTGGCGGATGGACGCCCTGCGGAGGGCGCTCCCGGGGTGGCCTCTGGCTGCAGGGCCCACTCTGGTGGCACAGGGCGTGGACCCGCCGCACGGTCTGTGGGGCCTCGTTGCCCTCTGCAGGGTGTTGTGGGAACTGTCCTGAGGAGCACCCACGGCCGAGTGACAGAACTCCTTGCAACTTCGCATTCTCACTGTTTAAAAGACGATCACACCGGTGAAATTGGTTAACGTGTTCTTGGAGACCAACTTGGACTGGGGAACGTAAAACCCAGAGGACTTAGATTCCTTCTCCCACCATCCTGGAGGCGATCTCAGGCCCCGATCCATTCTACCAGGGAGTTTTGGGTTGTTTGTTTGTTTTGTTTTGTTTTTTTGAGAGTTTTTGTTTTTGTTTTGTGGGTTTTTGTTTTGTTTTGTTTTGTTTTGGAGAGGCTCTTGGTATGTTGGTCTCCAAATCAAGATTCTTCCTGCCTCAGCTTCCTGTGTGCATGCCTCATCATGCTTGACTCACCGAGTTAAGCTTACCTCAGTCCAGGCTGAGTGGTAGGGAGTAGCCAGCCTGGGTCTGGTGCTGAATGCTTTACACATTTTTTTTATAGGGCAAGCTGTCCCTGGCCACATTAAACAGCTTCCTCCCATTCAGACAAAACATTAACTTGTGGGTTTTGACCTTCGAGACTTAAGGAAGGACCAGTTAGGCCAATAAACTCAATTTTGGTGACTTTTAGAGTGCGTGCCAGGATGTGCCTATAAGGGAAATTAGAGGGTTTGGCAGCTTCGTTTGTATTTCTGAACTTTTCCAATGTAAACTCTTGCCCAGTGAAGACTCTTTAACTATTCCAAGGCCAGCCTTCCCTGTTGGAACAGCACGTGATGGAAATAACCATCTCAACACAGACGGTTCCAAGGCTGCTGCCAATAACCACCATGTATGCAGTTGGGTGTCACTTGAAGTGGACATAACGTTTTTGAGAACTGTGTTGTGAGGCAGTTCCATCACTGTGCAGATATCACACACAGCGCGCATGCTTGGACCAAGATGGCAGTCATGTCACTCGGTTCTACGATCTTAAAGGATCCCTGTCATAAATGCAGCCTTTCTGACTCCATACGTTTATGTTCCACCTGTTAATTACAGTGCAAATTAAGGAGTTCCATGCGACAGTGCTTTGAAAGCTAGGGAGGCTGATGGCTTCGGCTGAGTTGGAAATGACTGTTACATCAGATTTAAACAGGGATTTCATCATTTTCTTTGTAGTCTTAAGTTTTCACCTCCTGGCACTTCACTTTGTATTTATAGATGAAGAAAATGAAGGAAATCATCTGACTTTTTATTCCCACAGGAAAAATAAATTCCGTCAGACAGACTTAGTTACTACCTATTTAACTAGGTTGAGGATACAGCATTTTTTTCAATGATTTTATTTATTTTTATGTGCATTGGCATTTTGTCTGCATGTATGTCTGTGTGAGGGTGTCAGATCACTTGGAGCTGGATTACAGATAGATGTGAGCTGCCACGTGGTTGCTGGGAATTGAACCCGGGACCTCTGGAAGAGCAGCCATTGCTCTCGGCCCCTGGGCCATCCCGCCAGCCTACGGCATTCTTTACTGGGGTAGAAATGTTGGTCTCTGGGAGTTCCAAGCTCAGCAGAAGGCTATGGGCGGTGTGGGCCTTCGTGTGGGGTTGTGCCCAGTTATGTCAGTGGGGTTGTCTTTTTCTCTGCCGTGTGAGATGTGCTGCCTGCTCATTTGCTGAAAGGGACTTGGGACGTTTCTCTCTTGCTCTCATTAACCCTTGTGTGTGTCACTGCTGTGTGTGTCTATCATGTCACTGTATCCCTGTCATCCCATTAGTAATGCCATGATAGTCATGGGCATCTTGACTATCATACTAGCGTGATGCATGTACACGTGACTTTTCCATAATTGTAGAGGACTAACTTGAACAGACTGAGTACGAATTTCTGTTTTAGATAAGGGGGACTATGATCACAGTAGATTATATAGGTATGAAATTGTGAGAGGATAATTAAATTAAAACTTCAAAATGAATCTTTGTTTTAGGATTTTTTTTTTTTTTTTTTTTAAAGACAGGGTTTTATGTAGTCCGGGATGACCTTGCTTGAACTCACTATGTAGGTTGAACTTTTGTTTATTTGGAAATTTCCTTTTTTTTTGTTTTTTGTTTTTTGTTTTTTGTTTTTGAGACAGGGTTTCTCTGTGTAATTTTGGTGCCTATCCTGCATCTCGCTCTGTAGACCAGGCTGGCCTCGAACTCACAGAGATCCACCTGGCTCTGCCTCCCGAGTGCTGAGATTAAAGGCATGCGCCACCACCCAACTTATTTGGAAATTTTTAAAATTTCATTTTTTAAAAATTTTATTTATTCATTTCATATTCTCCTATCTGGGGGGATGTGTGTGTGTGTGTGTGTGTGTGTGTGTGTGTGTGTGTGTGTGTGTGTGTATAAGCACAATGCATGTAGAAGTCAGAGGACCATCTCAGGGGTGGTCCTCAGGCGCCTCCTACTGCTTGTGAGATAGACTCAGCTTAAACTCTGGTAAGTAGGCCTGGGTGTAGCTGCCCGCTTCTTGGTCTTTCTTGGCCTCTCTCTTGTTAGTCCTGGGACTACAGGTACAAACCACCCCATGGGGCTTTTTCTGTAGGTTCTGGGCATCTGGATCTAGGTCCCTGTGAGGCAGGTGTGGTACCATTAGAGCCAGCCTTGGTCTGCCACCTCCTTCCCCCCAGTGTTGGGATTAGGATTTTATTATTTGTTTTCAAACTTTCTTTCTTTTTTATTAAAAAAATTATAGCACAGGCGGTGGTGGCGCACACCTTTAATCCTAGCATTTGGGAGGCAGAGGCAGGCGGATCTCTGAGTTCAAGGCCAGTCTGGTTTACAGAGTTCCAGGACAGCAGGGCTTCATGGAGAACCCCTGTCTTGAGAAACAAAACAAGTATAGCACTTATTGGTGCCTTTGTGGAGGTCAGAGAACAACTTATGGGAGATAATTCTCTCCTCTACCATATGAATCCTAGGGATCCAACTCAAGTCATCAGGCTTGAAACAAATGCCTTTTCCTGCTGAGCCAGCTCACTGACCCTAACTTTGCTTTTAGCAGTCAAATAATTTCAATGTCCAGTCCCTTATATTCAGGACTTAAGTTTTATTTATTTAGTTTTTTGAGACAGGGTTTCTCTGTGTAGCCTTAGCTGTCCTGGAACCCACTCTGTAGACCAGGCTGGCCTCAAACTTGGAGATCCACCTACCTCTGCCTCCCAGGTGCTATAATTAAAGATGTGCACCACCACTGCCCTGGCAAAATTTTTTTTCAAGACAAGAGTCATTCTTTTCCTTCTTAAAGTTCTGGGGAGGATAGCATCACACATGTAGGATCCAAGTAAAGATTCAGCAGGATTGGCTTGGGTTTCCATATTATAGTAAATGCATCAATATGCTGTTTAAACACTATGGAAGAAAGAAATCTTTCTTCCCCTTTCCTCCTTTGTTCCCTCTTTTTCTTCCTCCCTTCCTCCTTTTACACCAAGTTGAGTCTGTCTGGTGTATCCCCAGCTGGCCTGGGAATCCTGAACTCCCTGCCTCCATCTCTCAATGCTGGGATTACAGGCATGCACCACCACACTTGGTAAAGACAGGTTTTCTATTCTTTAGGAACTTATTGTAAGAAATATTCTGATCTTTAAAAAAAGATTTCATTTATTTTTATTTTATGTGTATAAGTATTTGTAGTATCTGGCATGTATGCAGATACTACATGTGCAGTGCTTGAAGAGGCCAGAAGAGGGCATTAGATCCCCTGGAACTGGAGTTAAGGATAGTTGTACGCTGCCATGTGGGTGCTGGGAATTCAATCCTGGAAAAGCAAACAGTGCTCTAACCTCTGTGCCATCTCTCCAGCCCCAGATTCTAAATAAATCTGAGGTCAGTTGTCAAGGGGTAGTTAGACTGATTATGTAGAGGTGGGTGGGGTGCATGTGTATGCTTTCATGCCTCTGTTTTACTGGGGACGATTTTCACACGATTTCAGTTGACATGGGATTGTGAGTGGTCCTCTTGGGGGTTGAATTTCCTGGAGGCACGGTGCTAAATTAGGACTTTCCTGCAGATGGAGGGACTAGAGCAAGGCCTGTTGATGCAGCCGTGGGCGTGGCTACAACTTGCTGAGAACTCACTCTTGGCCAAGGCGTCTATCTCCAAGCAGGGCTATGCCTTGCTGATTTCAGATCTTCAACAGGTGTGGCATGAACAGGCGGATACTTTGGTGGTCAGCCAGCGAGCCAAGGTAAGAATATAAGTGTGAAGAGAGCTATCACTGTGGTGTGGTGTGCTGGCCATAGGACATTAATATCATCAACCTGTCTATCTATACATTGGCAAGAAGGGCTGAACTGGTTTGAAACAATTATTGGCTTAACATCTCTATCCTAAAGATGCCAAATCTGAATTGCTCTAAAATATGAAACTTTTTACATCTTAAATACCCAAGCATTCAAAAAGTTGTAGATTTTAGATCAGTTCAGATTTTGGATTTGGGGGTTAGAGTTATGCAACTGGTGAAAATCTATGCATCCCAGATCCCAAGATTCCAATCTATCTATTCCAAAATCCAAGAAACTTGGAAATCTCAAACATTTCTGGAGAGCAAGAGAGAGAGAGAGAGAGAGAGAGAGAGAGAGAGAGAGAGAGAGAGAGAGAGAGAACAATAATGCACACTGTCATCTCTGTCGTATGATGTATTCAGGCCTCAGTACACTGTTCTTCCCCAGGACAGAGCTGCAGAGCAGGCTAGTCGATCTTCGCAGCTCTTTTTCTTGTCTTCATTTTGCCGCCATGCCTTCCCCTTGCCTTCCCTTCCTCTCCTGCCCGTTGTCTTCATGGGTTCCCCTCTGCTCCTGCCTTTGAGGAGTTGCCTTTTAACGCCCCCACTCTGTCTCTCTAGGAGCTGAACAAGCGCCTAACTGCTCCCCCGTCAGCCTTTCTCCGCCATCTGGAGGAAGTGCTTGTCCCGTTCTTTAAAGATCCTGCTCACCCTAGCCAAGCTACCTTCTCCTGTGATCGGGTAGCAGAGGCACTGATTCTTCGGGTGCGGAGTGAGCTGTCTGGTCTCCCCTTCAACTGGCATTTCCATTGTACTCCAGCTAGTTCTTCACTGGTGAGTGCAATTTAGATGAGGCTGCAGGTGGGGATCCCAGCTGCTTCAGGTAAAGATCGGGGTGCCCTTATATTTCCTGAAATTCTTTTTTTTTTCTTTTCAAGACAGGGTTTCTCTATGTACACTGGCTGTCCTGAAACTCACTCTGTGGACCAGGCTGGCCTTGAAATCGCAGAGATCACACCTGCCTCTGCCTTTTAGTGCTGGGATTAAAGCGGGATTAAACCGCTGTCTTGCTGAAATTCTTTTCTAATAATAATAATAATAATAATAATAATAAACCCTCCCTGACTAGACCAGAGGCTTTGGGGATTTTTTTTTAACTGATATAGCCTTGCCTTGGAAACAGGGTTTGGATCTTCACATTTTATTTTGTGACTTCATCCAATGTTATTATTTTAATGACAGGATCTCATGTATGCTAGGCTATTCTAGGACTACCTCATTCTTTCACCCGAGTGTTACAGATCCACCACCATGCTCACTTAGGCAGCACTGAGGGGTCGAACCCAGGGATTTGTGCTGGACAAGCACTCTACAGAGTATATCCCTGGGTTTTCTTGATTTTTTTTTTTTTTTTTTTTTTTTTTTTAGTGGCTGGAGAGACAGCCGTGGGTGCTGGGAACCGAACTCTTATATTTTTGGTTGTGAGCCTAGCCTTTAACGGCTGAGCCATCTCTCCAGCCCTTCTTGATGTTTTGAGATAGGGTCTCACTGTAGCCCTGGCTGGAACTCACAGAGATCTGCCCATCTCTGCCTGATACCAGTTCCACTTTTCTTGATTTTTTTTTTCTTGAGAGTCTTATTATGTAGCCTTAGCTGCCCTGAAATCACTGTATAACCCAGGCTTGCCTTGAACTTGAAGCAATCCTTCTGCCTCAGCTCCCAAATGCTGGGATTCACCATACCTGGCTTAAAGCAGAGGCTTTAATAGTTCCAAGTTGTGACTTATCAAGACCACTTTGATAACAGAGTGGAGTGTGATACTTATCTAAGCATTTTCTCCTCTTTTTGTCCTTACGATTTTTCTACAAGATAGATATTATTATTTATATTTTTCAGAACAGGAAATCAAGATTGAAAGTAATTTGCCCAAAGCCATCCAGCTTATTCATGACTAGAATTTGAACTCTGCATTAGTCTAGTGAACTTCAAATTCCTCTTTTACAGACTAGGAGGGTCATGCCTTCTTCTTGCTTGTAGCTTTAATGCCCTAAGAACTTTTATTAATAATTAATAATAAATTTAAGGATAAGTTTTCAGCCGGGTGTAGTGGCACATGCCTTTAATCCCAGCACTTAAGTTTGAGGCCTGCCTGGTCTATGTAGCAAGTTCCAGGACAGCCAGAACTGCATAATAGAGAGATCTTGTCTCAAAAAACAAAACAAAACAAAAAGACACATTTTCAAAGCTGGGCATGATTGTACATGTCTGTAATCATAGCACTAGGGAGAGAGAGGCAGGAGGATTATGAGTTCAAGGCCATCCTCAGCTACATAGTGAGTTTGAGTATAGCATGGGCTACATGATACTCTGTCTCAAAAACCAACCAACTGCTGGGCATGGTAAATGCCTTTATTCCCAGCACTCAGGAGGCAGAGGCAGAGGCAGGTGGGTCTTTGTGAGCTCGAGGCCATCCTGGTAAACAGAGAGTTCTGGGACAGCCAGGACTGTTACATAGAAAACAAAACAAAACAAAACAAAACAAAACAAAACAAAAACAAAAAAGGAAGGAAGAAAGAAACTGACTTTGGATTTAGTATATCTTGTTTGAATCCCATCTTCATCGCTTTGAGGATTTGAGATAGTTTATAAAACTTAAACTAGAAGTCTTGAATTTCTTCCAAATACCCACTGTAGCTGATGGGAATGTACAATGACACAGACAGTGGCTTAGGGTCTCTGTTGCTGTAAAGAGACACCATGACCACAGCAACTCTTAGAAAGGAAAACATTTGATTGGTCTAGCTTACAGTTAGAGGCTAGTCCATTATCATCATGGGGGGACATGGCAGCAGGCAGGCAGACATGGTGCTGGAGAAGGAGCTGAAAATCCTACATCTTGATTTGCAGGCAACAGAAAGTGAACTGAGACACAGGAAGTGGCTTGAGCATAGGAGACCTCAAAGCCCGCCCCCACAGTGACACACTTCCTCCAACAAGGCCATACCTCCTAATAGTGCCACTTCCTATGAGCTTATAGGGCTAGTCACATTGGAACCACTACAGGCAGTTTGGGGAATAATGTGTGTGTATGTGTGCGCAGGTACATGTGCAAGTGGGTTAGAATATGTGTAGAGGCCAAATGTCAAATTTAGGTGTCTCCCACACACTTTTTTTTTTTTTTTTTTTTTCCCAACAGGGTGTTTTAGTGAGGGTTTCTATTGCTGTGAAGAGACACCATGACCATGGTAACTCTTATGAAGGAAAACATTTAATGGGGTGGCTTATATTTTCAGAGGTTCAGTCCACTGTCATCATGATGGGACATGTGGGCAGGCAGGCAGACGTGGTGCTGGCTACATCTTGATCAGAAGGGAACAGGAAGTGGCCTGGGACACTGGGAAGTATCTTGGGCATATATGAAACCTCCAAGTCTGCCTTCACAGTGACACACTTCCTCCAACAAGGCCACACCCACTCCAACGAAGCCACACCCCCTAGCAGTACCAGTCCTTTTGGGGGCCCTTTTCTTTCAAACCACCGCGTATTTTCTCTGTGTGGCGCTGGCTGTCCCGGAGCTCTCTAGTGGACTAGGCTGGGATTAAAGGCATGTGCCACCACTGCCCAGCTTCAGGTGTCTTCTTTAATTACTTCTCTACCTTGTTGTTGGAGACAGAGGCGGCTCTCACTAAACCTGAAGCTTGCTGATTTGGCTAGATTGGATGGCCAGCGATGTCCAGAAACCCTCCTGTCTGCTCCTGTGGTGTAGGATAACAGATGCTTACCGCTTTCTGTTTGTTCGCTTGTTTGGTTTTTGGATCTCACTATGTAGCTCTGGCTGTCCTAGAACTCGCTCTGTAGACCAGGCTGGCCTCGAACAGCTCACTATTTTTTATGTGGGTGCTGGAGCTTCAGACTCTACTGACTGAGCCGTCTCCCCTGGCCCCAACCTTTGTTTTTAAGCTGAGTATACCCTACTTCATCCAGCCATTCGATTCCTGGATATTTGCTTAAGAAGGACGAAAACACGTGTCTAGCTAGGTATAGTGGTACATGCCTTTAATCCCAGTACTCTGGAGGCAGAGGCGAGAAGAGCACCAGGAGTTTGAGGCCTGCTTAGGCTATGTAGTGAGTTCTAGGCTGGCCAGAGCCTCACAGTTTCACAGTATCACCCAGTATCACCAAACAAGAAACAACTCTCTCAGCCTCCCTTCCCCCCATAGAGCCACTCAGATTTCTTCCCATATGTTCACTGTGGCATTTTAAGAACTTTGTTTTGTGTGCACATGTTTAGCCTGCATATCTGTCTCTGTACCGCATGTGTGTCTGATACCTGCAGATGCCAGAAGAGGGTATCAGGACCTCCTGGAAGTTGCAGAGTTGGGAGCTGCCATGTGGATGCTAGGAACTGAACGATCCCAGGTCCTCTGGAAGAGCAGCCAGTGCTCGTAACTGCTGAGCCATCTCTCCAGCCCTGGTGTCTTTGTTTGTTTCCAAGCCAGAAATAACCCGAGGTGAATGGTTAAACCAATTATAGTATATCATATATATATATTTATTATATTTATTGATTCTTAAAACTATATATCAAGTTTCAAGAATCAGTGAATGGTGCTCGCCGTGTTCAGTAGCCCTCAGTGATCAGAGTGTTCTGTGAGAGGTGTAGCTGCAGGTTGTCCAGCAGCGCATCCGCAAAAGCATCATTTTCGAGTTCCCACTTCAAGGTTTTCTACTTGAAGTTTCCTACAGGTGATGTGATAGTTTGGCACCAATAAATGAATGTAGATGGAGCCAAGTGGTGGTGGCGCACGCCTTTAATCCCAGCACTTGGGAGGCAGAGGCAGGTGGATCTCTAGTTCGAGACCAGCCTGGTCTACAGAGTGATTTCCAGGACAGCCAGGGCTACACAGAGAAACCCTGTCTTGAAAAACAAAACAAAACAACAACAATAACAAAAAAAAAAAACCAAAACAAAACAAAAAAAGAGAGGGAGACTGTAGATGGAACAAAGAACTTCTTTATTTTTAAGGATTTAATTTTTAATAATGTGTATTTCTGTGAGTGGGTTTGTGTACTTGAGAGGCCAGAAGATCTCCTGGACCTGGAGTTAGAGCGGTTGCTGGGAACCAAACTGTGTCCTCTGGAAGAGCAGCAAGTGCCCTTAACCTCTGAGCCATCTCTCCAGCTAGCAAAGGACTTCTTGAGAGACTGTTGGCTGCTGTTTATTTTTTTGTCTGGAACTTTGTAAAGTCACACTTGAGTGCTAGAACTGCTCACTCATCACTGGTTGGTTTGTGGTACTGGGGACCAAACCCGGGGCCTCACACTTGTTAGGCATGCACTCTACCACTGAGCTATACCCCAGCTAAGGATGTTCTCTGATGTTGCCAAGGTTGGCCTCTAACTCCTGGGGGCAAGACCACCTCCTCTCTCAAGTAGCGATGGCTACAGGTGTGCCCCACTGTGACTGACTTTAGGAAGAAACTGCTGAGGGCTATCCACGGGTCCTGTCATGTAGTTAACCCTCACCTTTGTGGACTTGAAGTGAATTTCTTGAGAACTCTTCCATCCCACTTTACATACAGAACGCCGTAGTCATTCAAAGCCCCTGGTTTTTTCTAGGTGACAGCAGGGGGCGCTGTCTCCTCAATGATGCTTGTTCTGGCCTCCAGCCATTTGAAACCTTTGAGAATCCCCATCGATAGCTTCGGTCTCTTCGGTATCAGGTATCTTATAGTCCTACGAATTCAGATTAGTGTGAGTCGGGAGGCAGCTTTCCTGGAGGTTCCCTCTAGTAATTTCTTCTTTCAAAAGTGCAGAGCAAGTCAGGGGTGTAG